CGGCCGGTACCCGGAATTTCGGCCGGTACACCCGAAATTTGACCGAAACACCCGAAATTTGACCGAAACAAAATTTTAACTTATTCCGTTTCGGTTAACCTTCAAAACCGGTACGTACCGACCGTACCGGCCGGTACGATACGGTACAGACTACCTTGGTTTAAAGAGCAATGTCAACATGAAAGAAAGAATTTGAACTGGACCCTTTTCCCGGGGACTTTAATTTGTTACATTTTTTCTGCAGAAGCCGGTGATTAAGAAAATCATTTTCACCTGCTAATGTTTGTAAGCTATGGGTTGGAATACCCCCAGTATTCCACATTTAATAAATTCTTTTGCTTTTCAAAAAAAAATAAATAAATAAATAAAGCACTAACTCTGAGAGGTATACTTTAACTCGTAATTTCACATTTTAAAAACTGCTAGAGACACTAAAAGTGAACTGAAAATATTAAGGAACACATAAAATTACTGAAACCAGCCACCAGCAGCTTTCAGGAGATATGGTGTTAGAAGATATTTTGAATCTACTTTGTGGCAATCTAGGAAAAGAGTCAATGAAGAGGGCTTTGACGATTCTCTTGCTACACTATCAGGTTCATCGCCCTTAAAACTCCAATCCAAAGACAGGGTGACTCATTTAATTTCACTTCCAATCATCATTTTTAGAGGACAGATGATAATCATGTTTATTATGCAGGGACTAGATAATTTTAGTCCCATATATCATTGTCATTTAGCTAAAGTAAGCTCAACCATGGCTAACAAGACTTTAATAGTGACTCATAAACAGCACTCGCTTGAACCATGTTTCACTCATTTAGGGAGCTCAAGGATCACATGTCACAAATCTATTTAAGAAACATTGCAGCATTTTTCCCAAACAATACAAGTCATTGAAAACAATGATTATCAGTACAGCTAGCACACCTAACCATTGTGCCCATTGTGCAGTCCACTGAGAGAACAGAAGTGTCCAGTGTAGATGCTTCTTCCTCCTCTCCTCAGCCCAAATGTCCTCTAGCGTACGTGGCTTTAAGCATATAAAAATGTTAGTTTTTAAAGTTCCAATGTATGACATACATCAGTAGAAAATTTTTCAATGTCCTGCATGCCTTTAAAGCAAGTACATATGTGCATTAGAAATGAGAACTTGCTGTCATCATATTCACCACGCCCTAATAGGGGCTCATCAGAACCACCTAATTTAGACGCCTCATAATGCTCATGCTTTCTACCATCAACGTCCCCATGATGGAACCGTCTCCTCAACTCCCCTGAACTCATTAATTAAGCTTTAGAGATATATACCAAGTTCTTTTCAGACTCAAAAACCAGTTTAAGAACATCCAATCTGCATCAAAACAATCGAACATTTCACAAACAGCATATAAAGGTGAGAACCCAGAATACTCAAATACAAAAAAGATTCCAGGTTGACAACTCAAAAAAAGAATGCCCCAGCCCCAATAAAATTACTTCCAGAAGATGAAACCGTGCTATTTCATTCTTCATGATCTTCATGATAACAAACGAATACCACAATATGCACCCAAAAGCCAAATGTTGAAGACAACAGCCCAACCCAAAATTCTAAAGCCAAAACCCAAATAAACCCCACGTAAGAATACCAAAAACAATGATAAGACAAGAACACAAAACTGCAAGAACACAGATCCTAGTTTGATATCTAACCATCCCCAGCTCACAAAATCAACAATTACCCGAGAGTCAGTCACCCTGATGCGCCCATGATAAAATTTGAATAGGTTTCCAGTGCATCTCCCTCCTCCATACGCCACGGCCACCGCTCCAAGTTCCGAAGAGAGAAGAAAAAGAGACTTAAACCGAGTACCAGTTAAGACACGAATCTTCGTAACGAACTGAAGAAAAGAAAGTGGCCAAGTAATCCGGCCTGGCAGTTAATTTCTTTTTTTTTTTTTTTCTTTTTTTCTTTTTCCTTTTTTTTAACATAGATATTATGACAGATTCTTTTTTAGTCTCCAATACAATCGCAAAGATTTGAACTCAACTAACGTAAAGTATAAATATTTGCGCGGCAATGTTATTATTACAATCTTACCATGCATATAGTAATGAATTTTTGAATGAGAATATTTCATTATATAATAGTATATTATAATTATAAATTTATAATATTATTTAATATCCTACCAATATCATTTTTGATGTTTTAATATAAGATGTTTAACAACATAGTAAGTCTTTTCTTTATTGATGGTAATACTATGATACTTGTTACTAAGTATTGGAACTGGTTGGAAAGATTAAAAGAAGTATAAGCGGAATGACTTCAAGGCATGCTCCTATATAAAGTATTGGTATGCAAAAGGGTTAATGGCGAATTACCTTGGAATACAATGAAGCCTAATACGTGACAATGTCTTGCACTAACGAAATAGAACACTGAGCATTCACCAAAAAAGTAGAATGATCACTAATTTATTATACTTTTCTTACTACAATGAACTTCCTACAAGGGTGACTTTGGTTTAAGAAAGTAGTGGAGACTTCTTGGCATGTAGAAAACTTAAATGTGCCGATGATGGCCTGTTTATAGAAAATGAAGAGTTGCCTTGGAAAAGAAGTGATCATGCAAACAAGTGACCTTTGAAATATATATGTTTTTGAAGAATGAGTCAAAACTTTACAAATAGATGTGACTATTCAAAAAAATTATAACATTTTATTTTACGAAAGATGTTTTTTAATGTGGATTGTATTTTTTTACGTAAATACTAAAATTATTAAAATATTATTAATAAATAAACATGAAGAAAGTTATTAAAGGTATTTTGATCATTTTAATACTTGAATTGAAAAAAAAATTGTACTAAAAAACACATTTGCTTTAAGCACAATAGTATTTCATGCAACATACGACTGAGCATTCACCATTTTGTTTTT